GCCCGAGTCCATCCCGCGTGATGAAAGTTCAGCAAGTCACGATCCGCACGCCTGCCAGCAAGCAGTTAGCGCACAAGCGGGCAATTATCCTCGAAAACGGAATCTTTAATTGGATAGATCTATCCAATGATGAATCCTTCCTGCGTAGGGTATTCGGACAGAAAATCTGGACGGGACAGTACACTAACTTTCACAGTTTTGTTCCCCTAAATGCAAAACGAAATCTAGTCCAGGGATCAGCAGCTAGAGTACGAAAGCTCTGCTCTCCTGAAACTGTCGAAGCGAAACTCCAACAGCTGCAGCATACGCTAATTGAAAATGGATACCCGGAAAGGTTAATCCTGAGGAATATTGGCGAGCGCGCCAAAAACCTGCCACCTTAACCGCAGAACAGAAAGACGTGTTCATAAGACTGCCTTTCTTACGCGATGCAACAAGCGAGCTGGTCAGATGACGCCTGAGGTCCGCAATCGTAAACGCTTTCCCAGCGGCGAACTTACGGGTATTCTTCACGAACTCTCCCCCCCTACGAGTGGGAGGTAAAGACCGACTCCCGTTGAAGACCACATCCATGTGTATGCACTCTTTCACTTACTCCTGTGGAACAGGATACATCGGCCGAACAACAAGGCGCCTGGAAAAGAAGGTACATGAGCACATACCAGCCTGGTTAAGTAAAGGTGAAACTAGATCGATCTCGAGTTCTATTCTCGCGCATCTTGTCAATACGAATCATCTAGTCGATACTAACGAGACCTTTCATGTTGTATACCGGACACCAGCCAACGTTTGCAAGGGCCTAGGCCAACGGGTGTTTGCAACAGCTGAAGCATTGGCTAGACGGCATGCGAATCCAGTGCTGTGTTGTCAGAAGAAGCTGATAGAAGTAGCAATTATCCCTCCATGTATCTGCCCTCTGATCAACTCCCACAACCTAAACTACTAACCTCCCTCTCTCTTCCCCTCCCCTAACACAACAATCACTAATTGTCATAAGTGTGCAGTATTATATTGCCTGTATCATATAAATACTACACTCCCTGTGCATGAATTGCCCATTTCTGCTCCTGCCTCTGACAGAGGATCCGTGACGGATTTTGAAGCGTCAGGCGGATAAAAGTCTTGTCCCAGCGACCATTTCTTCTTCCTCTTCTTCTTCTCTATCCCGAGAAAGCCCGTAAATGCAACATCACCAGGTTCGTGAAAAACCTTAGGGTTGTCCTGACGTAGTCTATAAAGAGGTCGAAACCAGACACAAACACCTCTAGGTTTACCATCATTCCTATACTTCTATAAATGACAACCCTCTACGGGTATATGTTAGCTCCATTTTACTTAAGCACACTAATTTTCTCTCAAAATGATTACGATCAACTACGTGGTCCCATTTAGGAACTGAAACCTTTGATAGCAGGACGTTGGCACTAGGGTTTTTTATGGCTGAACCAAACTAAACCGCCATCAAGTTATTTTGGGGTGAAAAGGTTATAAACATAAATTTTACTTTGTTTAAATGCGTCAACAGAACTTGAAATGCGAGCGCGCAATTCGTAATACTGGAAATTAGTTGAGATAAAGGGACGAAAAAAGGAAACCGAGAACCGCGGTAAAATAGCGCAGAAGAGTTGATCCTAGTCCGCCTTGAGCAGACACATCGAAAGACAGGGAAAGAATAATATAAAGTATATGTATTTACATAAATGATATAAAGTAAACTCTCAATCTCGTACCGGCCGTGACCGATGATACACAACACTGATGCTCTAATCCCTTAACATAACTTTATCCAGAAGACGAAGAAGCGATCACTGAAACAAGAGGTTTATTTTCCTGCGCATGTCTCAGACTGTTCTAATATTACCTATGATTTAGGATCCCCGAGGGAATCTGAAATGTCAGGAGAATAAACTTCTTGTTCCAGTGATCGCTTCTTCGTCTTTTGAACTGCTTCCTTAACTCGCATATTCAATTCTATTGGCAATAACTTTATCCCTTAAACCTTACCCTAGACTTAACTGTGAACTAGAATTCCAACCTTAAGCTTAACCCCAGTGGTAACACTCAAGAGGGCAAAGCAAAGGCTGCCTTTGTTAGATATTTCTTAGAAGTAAAAACTTGCTGAGGCCGCATATCTGATCAGTATCATCCAGGGTCCTGTGTTCTTTTAGCATGCAACGAATATTCATTTGGTCTGACATCTAGGCTGGTTTTATATGGCTGACTTGGCGTAAAAGTCTTCACGCCGACGGTTGGCGTGAAATCCGTGTCAGACGGAGGTGACCACATAAGTGGGACACTAAACCATTTGTTGCTGACAGCCGAACTCATAAATCCAACCAATTCCCTTCT